AAGGGTGGCATTTCCGTTTTTTGGTTGTTGGGGGTGGTGATAGGTGCTATGGATAGGAGCTAGGGCATCCATATTCCCTAGGAGCTCCCAAAGGTTTCCTGTCACATTGTTATATAGTTATTCTCTGTATCAATCGGTGAGCTAATCCCTTTATATCTCCTTATATCATGAAATGGTTGGTTTGATACTCCCATTCTATAGCGATCCTGGATCCATTAACATCAACCAGCTTCGCGATCCCGCAATCACTGGAAAAATACATCTAAGTCCCAATGGTTGCTGAAATCATGTTAAATCATGTGAAATCCACACTGTTTGTTGGTTTTCTATCCCCATTTTTCCATGGGAAAATTCCGTCCATTTCGGCTACATCCCATGGTCTCCCAGGTGCCACCAGCACGCCGGAGGAGCAGAAAGCTGCGCGGGAGGTGCAGAGAAGCCAAGACTATTGTTTTTTTGTTTTTTGTTTATCATTATATTATATATTTTTATACATTGTGGTATGTCCATTATATAATATATATATATAATCACTATAATATATCATGGTGATTTATATATATAATATACATACATACATACATACATATGTATATTTATTATTGTATTTTCCAGTTTATATGATTATATAAGGCATCCAGATCAGATAAGGCATCCAGATCAGACAGGCAAGAGATGGCAAGAGATGGCAAAAGAAAGATAGATAGAAACAGCCTGAATCATCTGCACAAATTATAGCGAGGACAGCCGAGGCAACGAGGCAGGTTGCAGGAATTAGCGAGGTCAGCCCTTAATTTGCTCATCAGAATTAGCCGACCTCGACGAGGTAGCCTTGCATTGGTTCTGTTGCATGCTTGGCTGGCCGCCGTTTAAGAGATCCACATTTTTCCCCCTTGTGTTGTCAGGAGTTAACCAGCAAATTTGTAGAAGTAAAATGATCGTAGTAGTAGTAGTCAGTAGTAGTAGTAGTAGTAGTAGCAGCAGTAGTGGTAGTAGTAATAGTAGTAGTAGCAGTAGTAGTAGTAGTAGAAGTCGTAGTAGTAGTAGTAGTAGTAGTAGTAGTAGTAGTAGTAGGTAGTAGGTAGTAGGTAGTAGGTAGTAGGTAGTAGGTAGTAGGTAGTAGGTAGTAGTAGTAGTAGTAGTAGTAGTAGTAGTAGTAGTCAGTAAGTAATAAGTAGCAAGTCAGTAAGTCAGTAAGTCAAAGTAGTAAGTCGCAAGTAGTAAGTCGCAAGTCGCAAGTAATAAGTCGCAAGTAGTAAGTCGCAAGTAGTAAGTCGCAAGTAGTAAGTCGCAAGTAGTAAGTCGCAAGTAGTAGGTAGGTAGGTAGGTAGGCAGGCAGGCAGGCAGGCAGGCAGGCAGGCATGCAGGCAGGCAGGTAGGTAGGTAGGTAGGTAGGTAGTGGGTAGTCAGTAGTTAGTAGATAGTAGTGGCTAGTAGCTAGTTAGTAGGTAGTAGGTAGTAGGTAGAACGTAGAGAGTAAAATAAGTAGTAAGGTCAGTAAGTCGTAAGTAGTAAGTCAGTAAATCTAAGTAGTAAGTAGTAGCGCGCGCGCTCGCCTCGCGGAAATCCAGAAGTAGTTATTTTTTGCCGTCGACCGGCCAATTAATAGCGCTAGCGCGCGCGCGTCTCGCGGAAAGTCGGGGCATAAATTCCCGGAAGTTAGCGTTTTAGTCTATTATTTGGCTAATATACTAAGACTGCGCGCGCTAAGTCGGCCAAAATAGCGCGCGCGGAAATCCGGGGCATAAATTCCCGGAAGTAGCGTTTTGCCTTATAACGGGTCTACTTTTGGCTAAGACCGCGCGCGCTATCGGCCAATTAATAGCGCTAGTGCGCGCGCGCGCCTCGCGGAAATTCGGGGCATAAATTCCCGGAAGTAGCGTTTTGCCTTATAACGAATCTATTTTGGCTAAGACCGCGCGCGCTATCGGCCAATTAATAGCGCTAGCGCGCGCGCCGCGCGCCTCGCGGAAATTCGGGGCATAAATTCCCGGAAGTAGCGTTTTGCCTTATAACGGGTCTACTTTTGGCTAAGACCGCGCGCGCTAAGTCGGCCAAAATAGCGCGCGCGCGCTCGCCTCGCGGAACTCCGGGGCATAAATTCCCGGAAGTAGCGTTTTGCCTTATAACGAGTCTACTTTTGGGTAAGATCGCGCGCGCTATCGGCCAATTAATAGCGCTAGCGCGCGCGCCGCGCGGAAATTCGGGGCATAAATTCCCGGAAGTAGCGTTTTGCCTTATAACGGGTCTACTTTTGGCTAAGACCGCGCGCGCTAAGTCGGCCAAAATAGCGCGCGCGCGCGCCTCGCGGAACTCCGGGGCATAAATTCCCGGAAGTAGCGTTTTGCCTTATAACGGGTCTACTTTCTAAGACCGCGCGCGCTATCGGCCAATTAATAGCGCTAGCGCGCGCGCCGCGCGCCTCGTGGAAATTCGGGCCATAAATTCCCGGAAGTAGCGTTTTGCCTTATAACGGGTCTACTTTTGGCTAAGACCGCGCGCGCTATCGGCCAGCGCTAGTGCGCGCGCGCGCGCCTCGCGGAAATTCGCGGCATAAATTCCCGGAAGTAGCGTTTTGCCTTATAACGAGTCTACTTTTGGCTAAGACCGCGCGCGCTATCGGCCAATTAATAGCGCTAGCGCGCGCCTCGCGGAAATTCGGGGCATAAATTCCCGGAAGTAGCGTTTTGCCTTATAACGAGTCTACTTTTGGCTAATACCGCGTGCGCTAAGTCGGCCAAAATAGCGCGCGCGCTCGCCTCGCGGAACTCCGGGGCATAAATTCCCGGAAGTAGCGTTTTGCCTTATAACGAGTCTACTTTTGACTAAGACCGCGCGCGCTATCGGCCAATGAATAGCGCTAGCGCGCGCGCCGCGCGCCTCGCGGAAATTCGGGGCATAAATTCCCGGAAGTAGCGTTTTGCCTTATAACGGGCCTACTTTTGGCTAAGACCGCGCGCGCTAAGTCGGCCAAAATAGCGCGCACAGAGTCTGAGTTTTGACATCAATGGCAATCTACCTTTGATTTTCTAAACCATAGTCTCACTCACAGCGAAGCATTTTTTCCCTTCAAAAACGCCAGGTGCTCAAGGCATCAGTGGCATCTATTATGCCCGAACGACCGGCTTTCCATCAAGGCATCAGTGGCATCTATTTTGCCTCAACGACCGGCTTTCCATCCACAAACTTGGCCCTTTTGTAGTAATCCAGGCAGGTCAGGGCGTCCACCAAGGCAGTGTGAGCACCACCGAAAGCAAACCCAAGGCGGCTGGCATGTCCACCTTGAAGGCCTTCCAACCATGCGATTGCAGATTGGATCTCCCCATACTTTCGGTCGATCTGGTTCTGCATGCCCTCATCCACGGAATGGCCGTTTGGAGCAGCGAGCTTCCAGATCTTGACAATCTTTGGTTCAGGGTTCCACCACATCTTGTAGTCCTGGTAGTCCAAAAAATCGAAATCCTCCAAAGGGCAACCTTGGAAGAAAGCACGGTACCTAGTAAGAGCAGCCACCGTCATGGCAATCGAACGGGCGTGATGCTCGGCGTCATCGAATAAAAACCGGATCCAGAGCAAACACTCCCTGCAGCACTCCAACTCATGATCTGCCTGGTGTTCCATCAAAGGATTCTTGCCCCGGAGGTCAGCAAGGTGGTCATTCATCTCGCGTGTGCTCAAGACTGCTGTGCTCTCCATGACGGGCCGACAATGGTCGCAAATCAACGGGCGGTCGCTGGTACTTGATTGATGAGGGGCAGCCAGGAAAATAAGGAATCACAATGTTTGCACACATTTTCGTCGTGAAAACTCAAATGACAACATTCAAAATGACAATCCCTAGCAATTGTCATCACCATGACGAATCCAACTCAAATCCAAAATTCTGTTTTCTAAATCGTGGTTCCTGGAAGATTTTCAATTTTCATTCACGGAGTCCAATCAGCTCGTAAAACCCGCACTTTTTGTCGCAGAACGGACGAGTCCGAGTGCTGTTGTGTCGTGCAGTGTGCTGCGGACAGACCGCCGTGCCACAATACTGCATTAATTAAGACGAATTGAATCATTGGACTAATCAATCCATGGAGATCCCGTCTTGCTCTGCTTGCCTCAAAAGCCACCGTTTCCCCATCCTTTTGCTCAGCATCTTTCCGATCTGAATGCAAAGGCCACACTGATCCCAGTTGTTTATCTTCAGCTCTTTGTAGTAACGCCACAACTTCTCAGCACGCGTGGTGGAAAGCAATCTCTTTTGGACATGGAACCACTGGTTGGCATCAGGTGTCTTTGTAGCTTTTTTCGACATTGCCTTTGGCACCAAAAAGACATCACAATCGCCAGAGGTTCCAGAAGCCTGGCTTGACGGCCGTTGAACGACCATTGAGCAAGGGCGCCAAATGATCAACGGGCGGCTGGTTTCTCAATACGCAAGTTGTCTGCAATGAGGCTCATAAGACAATTAAATCTCATCCACCTGTGAAAACTGTTAAAAGGTTTGATTTGAGTGGCTGAAAGAACGAACGCTTGTAGAGTCAACATGCAATAATTGAATCAAACGTGTGTGTCTGAGCCAGAAAAAATGTACCGAATGCTGTCACAACGCAACATGCTGGCATTCACTGCGGTACCATGCAAAAATCCACATGCACTGTGTCATTGGCAATTCAAATTCAAAGCAACAAGCAACATCATGCCACGTCGCCAAGCAACAAGAAACGTCATGGCCGGTTGGGTGCTTCAGTTTTCTGCCACAGGCTGACAGATCTGAACGAATCTTGAAAAAGCTGGAGCAGCAAACTGTCATCTGAACAAAACTTTGAACTGGCAGCAGCAAGCAAATGTCAAAATGGGCGTTCATACCGGGTCAAAAATGACTGCTGACAGACAGTCTCAGATCTCTAAGAACGGGCGGTAGCTCACTCACTTAAGACTTGTCACCCTCTGAAACTGAGTCCTGGTTCAGGGAAGCACAGGTGAATTCTCACTGACTTGGACGGCCGGCATTAATTTTTGCACTTAGACCCGGCCTCGGCAGACCCGGCCTCGGCAGAGCCTCCTGCTTCGCCGCTGACCTCCGAAGCCTCGTCCGCGTCGGCCTTGTCGTCATCTTCCTGGTCCTTCTTCTGCTTCTTCTTGTCGCTGCCAGCCTTGGCCCTTGGCTTCCTTTGGCGCTTCACCCCGCCTGACAGTCAGGGTCTGAATCTAAAATGTCTGACAGAGGTCCTGTCTTTGTCGAAAAAACTTACATCCATTCAACCTGGCCTCGACCACGGCCACGGCCTCTTCCAGACTCCCCCCGGCCAGTGGCTGGCACTGGCTGGTTTCCGTTTGGCCCGGGCGCATCCTCAATCTTCAAAGCCTTGGCCAAACGGCCGTCGTAGTTTGTTGAGCCAACCCGAAGGAACGTTTCGAAGAGCATCTTGGCTGCCTGCTCCTTGAACCACTTGCAATGCTCAGGCGTGTGGCCTAAGTGAGACTAAGATTGCAGTAAGTTAAGTTAAGTATTTCCCAATAAATTTGAAAACATACCGTTACCGGAGGCAATAATAATAAAAGTAGCCTAAAACTGACTGAACCACGGAACCAATTGCCACAACTGGCAAACCCTTCAGGAGAAAGGGAAGAACAGCCGTAGGGCAACTCGCTGTCAAATTGATGACAATTCTTGGACGAAATCTGTGCAGGAGTTCTTCAATCACTGACTGGTCCATTGCTCGAAAGTTGATGGGCTCGGGCCCAGAACGGGCGTCAGTGTCACCAGCTCTGCCACGGGAACGGATGTCTTTGACACGGGCGTTCTCCCCCAGCAAAAGCATCCTGAGGGTAATTTTATATAATGGAAAATCAGAAAACAAAATGGAACTGACTGGCTGTCTGGCAACTAACATAGATGATTTGAATTTGAGCCCATGACTTCTCTGACAACGGGATGGTCGGGCAGCTTGAAAGGTCACACTTCTTCACGTCAAACAGGGAATTGCCACCAGTGCTGCCTTGATGTGCAACATTGGGCCGCTCTGATTGCACAATATCTGTCAATCTGTCCAACGAGGCGGTGCCAACCAAAATGGTCTCGAGTTGGTCAAGATGCATTGCCTCAGTAGTGCTAATAAAGTGGTTTCAGTCAGTCAGTGGCAGTCGAGGGATTATTTTGGCCAAGTCACGGCACGGGCAGTGTTGAAACCAGTGGCAGCGAGGGCAGAACGATGTGCTTGCATACCTTTGACAGATGACGACAATGATGGCGGTTCTGATTGCAATTAGTAGTTAATTTTATTCGCTGCATAAATTTAAATGCAATCAGGCAGCTCGACTCACTGTAGACCAGATACATTTGCCTCCACTTGAGCCCTCCAATGGCCTTGAACACGTTGCAGAAGTTCCCATGGTGGGAGGAACGGCCGCCATCAAAGAACAAGAACCTGAAACAGTGACTGATTGGCAAGCACCATTGAAAATTGTCATTGTAGTAGCAGATCGGTGTCAATCAAGTGTTGGTTATTATTCGATGCAGCATGCAGCCTAGTCGCACATCTGATTGGTCAGGCATCAAGCTGGCTGCTTCACCGTCAGTAATCATTTGAGCTGCCGAATTGACATCAGTGCAATCCGAACGGGCAATGAGAGTCGCTGCCACGGCCGTCTCCAAGTGTCCCTTCCTCATCGGAGTGTTGCTCCGGCGAGGGCACTGCGCCTGTTCTCCCGATGCCTCGATATCATACATAATCAAAACGGACGAGTCCGCTGATCCCTGTGCACCAATCACCGGGATGCTCCGCAAAGCGGTCGCCAAAGAAGTAGACGAGTGCAGGGTCTCAGATGTTTCGCCCCTTCCAGGCGGCTTTGCGAAGTTGATGGTGGACAGTAGTGCCTGAGTTTTTGTCATGCATTGCTTCTCCACCTCGTCCACCAGCGCCTCATCAGATTCTGAGAGGCTCACCGGGCTAGTGACAACCTTGTTGGCCAAAGAGTGTTGCAAGGCCCCTGGACCCTGGACCAATGACACCACCTGCTGCTGCTGGTCCCCTGCTAAGGGTGCAACGGCCGTGGCTTTTGCATCCTCTTCTGCTGTCTCCTGGCACTTCGCCCACTTGTCCTTCACATCAGCGTGGTCAAGGACTTCGTCCAAAGAGTGGTTGAACCGAATCGCCGATTTCAAGGCGGAATCGAAGACCTTTTTGAAGCACATATCCTCCAATGACATGCCCGAACCGTCAGTGAATGGTATTTCGACTTTTATTCAAACCTTCGAATCAGCGTCAACCCTGCCTCAATAAAGAGGCACGTTCTGTTGCCGTTCTGCGACAGCAATCCAAGCCAGGCCAGGTCACAATTTCCAGCTGGAAGTTGGCCTCTTGGCAAATTCTTTGCCTTAAATTTTAAGTTCAAACGGCCAGGCATAAATGAAAATTATTCCAGACTTTTTTAATTAATTCTTAGGCACTCACATCCAAGACGGGTCCCTGCTTCTGCAGCTCTGAGCTTTGGAAAACCCGTCCGCCGAGATGTTGTCGACGGGACAATGACGTGCGGAACACTTCCCTCCCAGGGAACGACATGAGTGTTTTATGCAAAACCGTTACCACTGGTGCCCCTAAGACATAGTTTTTCAACCATCCGGCAGGAACGGCCGACCTCAATTTCACCATGTCAGGGGCGGGAAGAAAAGACTCAGCCCGAGAGAGCAGCTTTGGCACCAACTCCATCTTGAAAAGCAACAAGTGCATGAGCCTTCAATGACAGATGAATTGATGCTCAGAAAGGTTCAGGAAGTCACGCCCATCCCCAAAAAGACAATCGATCATCAGGTTTGAAAAATACAATCTTGAAGCGACAGCGAAGGTTCCCCTTGTTATGCGGTTGCTTCTTCCCCGTGAGGGGGCCCCATGAGCACTCCCAGGGCTGGATATCGCCATTCAAGACTAAGTCGAAGAAGAAAACCAACATGCTTTCGAAACGGACGGGGTCACTGCCAGAAGCCTGCATCAGTGCTTCAAGTTTGTACAAGGAGTTGCTGAGAGGGTTGTTCTTTCCGAACAGCTCGTCTCCGAGAAGCAACGCATTGCGAACAGCCTTGTGCTGGAGCACTTTCCACATTGTGAGGGCCACGCGGACGAATGTCGGATTGATCGACTCGCCACTTGAGACTCGCAAGTTTGCATGGAAGGCTGCATGCACCTCCTTGTGGTTCGTTCTGCTGCTTTGGTTCTTCATTGACTGGGCCAGGAGTCCGATCTGATACACCCTCTGAACCTGAGTGAAAAATAGAATGAATATTTGCCGTCAATTATTAACTTAATTATTCAAATCTGAAAAACAAATTAAAAATAATTGCCAACTTGACCCAAAAACGGTCGTCAGATACATTGACTCAAAATCCTCTCCAATTTTCTCCCTTAACTGGGACGCCTCAAAGAACAAGGCGGCAGTCAGGTCGTCTGAGATAGCTGCCGACAAGGCCGAAAGCCTCCGGACGCAACGGAACACAACTGGCTGAGTCAACCAAGCCTGTGCCCATTTTTGGATGTTGCAACCCGCACTCAAACCTCTGGCCGTTGCGAGAATCATCGCGTGATGCTCTTCCTCAGGGGAGAGCCTCTTCAACGTGCGTTCTGGGATTTGGCCCTGCTGGTTCTTCAGGATCGCAGGGTCAGCATAGACCACCAGACGCTCTGCACACTTGGGTTCTGCAAAACGGCCGTTCTGCAAATATTTCACTGCAGTGTCAATGATGGGGATGCCTGGCGTCGGTGACCACCTCAGTCAGTTTTGGGACAGTGGTCAATTAAATTCATCAATCAGAATCAAATCAGTCTTTGACTGCCGAGAAGCGTAATGCTCAGCCATGTCAAGTTACACCCAAAAATGATGTCCCTCGAAGCACCGTCACCAGCATCTTGGTCTTGTGCAGCAAATTGTGCAGAACGGCCGGCCAAAACGGTCACATCCAACGGAGCTGCGGGGGACCCTTCCGCTAAGGACTTGGGCTGTGATCCCTGAACCAGGCCGGCAAACTCAGCGTGCCTTAGCTTAGTCAGTCAGTTGGTACAATCAAAAATACACGGCTGATGACGAACGGCTGCTCACATAATATGCCAGTCAGTCAGTCAGTCAGTCAGAGAACCAGTCAGACAAACGGCCGTTTTTTCTAAAGGCAAGTCACGCCATACACGTGTCATATGCTTCTTGGACCTTTGCAAAATGTTCCAGGTTCACTCCATCGGTTTGCTTGAGTCCTGAACAAATTGACAAACCACAGCACGGACAACCCAACAAGAAGGAAAATAATTTAATGGCGACATGTGTGAACTCCTTGGTGTGCCATGCTGCCAGGTCGGTTGTCGGAGGGGCTGACTGACTATTGTTTAACTTTAGTAAGCCCAAATGCAGCACGACAGATTTCTGGGAAACAGTTTCCGGTGATCATTCGGCTCGAATCACAGACTCACTGACTGACAAAGCTGCTGAAAGAACAGGCATTTTTCTCTTCCATGCGATCTGGCCCTGCCAGTCTCAGGCTGACCGGGTATTAATGCACAGCCGTTCCACTACACTGCCCATGAGGGCCCACTAACTTTAGAACCTGACAGCCAAAATGGGCGGAAATCAAAACTGCCTCGTTCCACCACACTGCCGATGAGGGCCAACTAACTTTAGATCTTGACAGCCAAACGGGCGGAAATCAAAACGGCCTCGATGGCCCTTGCCAAGACAGTCTGTGTCATGGCGTTGCCGATCATTCTGCCTCTCTGAGTCTTCGGGACGTTGAGCAGTTGCCACGGGATATCGTCATCACTGAAGCCTTGGCACCTTTGAAGTTCCAACATCGTAAGCCGCCGCTTCCCCTGCAACATGCTGACATTAAAGTCTCCAAACCAGTATTTAGTACAGTGTTGTTTTAGTCAAACTGTTTCCAAATAATCACCACTGACGACAACGGTCCTGCAGCCAGTAATAGGCACTGCTTGCACAGCGACCAGCCAACAATGTTGGCACGAAGTCATGACAAACTCGGGCGAAATTTTGGCCTGCCGCCAAATCTACAATCACTGGCTTGGAGGAACGGGCGTAATCCTCCTCGAACTTCACCCTGGCAGCTTTCAGGTTCTTCATGGCCGTTTTCCCCATCTTCATCTTTTTCTTTTGCTTGGCCCCGACGTTCTTCAAAAGCAAAGTTGAAAGACTAGGCTTGCTACCTTTGCATTTGGGCATGCTCAGTGGTGGGTTGGTGATACCCTTCTTTGAGGACCTCTTGGCGCCCAAAATGTAGACTCTCTGACGGTCTTGGGGAACTCCAAAGTCCATGCCTCGTTGGCCACTGACTGACTGACTGACTGACTGACTGACTGCGGACTCATCTGTTATTGTAGTATTCTTTAGCCAGTGGATGTGCCACACTAGCAACTAAAATGAAACAGTTGGGGTGCTCTTGGCTCTGACAACCTTCACGTCATAGGCCCTTCTGGAACTATTTGGTAAACGGACGCCCTTGAGGCGCCCAATGATGCCCTGGAATGTCTTCCGGTGTCCTTGGATTGGTGGTGACCAAAAGCAAACAAAATGAAGGCCAATGGGAAAAACGCATTCATAACTTCAAGTGAGCTTCTCTTGGTCAACAATCCTGTCACGTTTTCCAAGACGAAGGCCCGAGGAACCCGAGCCTGAATGTAGTCACAAACGGCCGAACTCAAGTCCCGGGTGTCCCTTTCTCCGAGGTTGTTTGCGGATGCCTTGCCTCAGGTGTTTTTGCCGCTGGCTGGTCGTCAGTGACAATACCGGAAAGATAAATTATTGATTGGCTGGGGCAACAAAGTTTATTCCAAGAGACTATATGGTTGGCATGGAAAGCCGCAAGAATACAAATCAACGGCCGGAACGGCCGATGGATCTTGCATCCTTTCAGACGGACGTAGACCAAGACTTTCCAGAACGGCCCTGCAGTGGACATTTGTGTCCGAGCTAAATCTGTGCTGAAGAACGGCCGTCGAGTCCTTCAGGATCTTCCGCAGGCACAGAACATCCGTTCCGAGCCCGGAACAATCGCTGCCAACATTGAGAACGCCCTTCCTCAATTGAACGGACGGCCGGGCCATGGCTTTGACAGCGGCGGAACGTCCGTGGCAGCGATAATCTCGTGAGCCCAACGGCTGACGCTGAACACAAGTTTGAAAACTGTGAGTCTCATCATTGAAATGGATTGTCGCGCGGTAGGGCCGCCTGTCATTTTTTACCCAACCCGAATCGTCATCTGAATCTAGACTCAGCGGCATTTGGCACACCCAGCACGACTGTAGCGGCACTTGCCTTAGACAATAGAACGCTCACATGCAGTGACCAGTGTCAAGTTGTTTGTTTTCAATTAGTCACTTAAAACCAGATGTATGATCTAGTGCTATTGAGCCTAATTAAATGCAAAGTTACATTTTCTTGGTAACGATTCGAAAGTGAAATCAAACATGTCAGCCTATTGCGACTCAAAATTGTCAATTGTTGCATGATTGATTTCATTGACGAACTCCCCCTTCATTAAAATGACTAAACACCACAATCAAAAACAAAATGGGGCGCGGACCAACAGTAACAGTAGTAATCAAAATACACGCGTTCACAAAACGTTAAGCAGAAACTCAGAATAACATAGTCAAAAAGGACCAAGGAACAATATCCCTGATAGCAACAACACACATCACGTTTCTGTAAACACAGAAAATAATTAAACCCCCCAATGTGAAAGTGAAGAGCTGTGTTGAAGTCAATTAATGAGACTAACACATCAAACTACAGAACGCAGTGGCACTGGCACACCATATGCTGACTAGTTCAAGGCAGGTCACTGCAGCCTGGCCCAGAACTTTTTGCTGCTGGCTTCTTGACGGCCGTATTCGCCTTCTTCGCCTTGGGAGTCGGCGGGCAGTCAGGGACATCTGGCTTATCATCTCCAACGGCCGTTGTCGTTGGGGTAGCGGAAGCCTTTGAGATAGCAGAAGCCGCCGGGCGCTTCATAGGGGTCTTCCGAACGGTCGTCTCTTCCTCGTCATCCAGGTCCACCATGTCATCATTTTCTGAATCATCAGGCTCCAACTCTGGAACGGACGTTCTCGCCTCAGGACCGCCCCCCTCCACCTCAGAGCCAGTGCCATGCCCATCATCATCCTGGTCATTGTCACCACCACCGGTGGAAGGCCAGAACGAATCGCTATGCAAACGGCCAGCTGAAGGCAAGAACGAATGAGAACGAACCATGGCTTAATAAATGGACGGGCTTTGGGTTGAGAAGTTCAAACCTAGCGGAAGTCACTGTTGAATTTCTCAACGTTGAAGGGTTAGTAAAATTAGCCGGTTTGATTAGTAGTTCAAACCTAGCCCAACGCCATGCGACACATGAACGACTATTAATTTGACACATGAGGGTTCGTTTAACATCGTAGTTGCCTGGCAAAAATTTAAATTAGACAAGTTTTAATATTTAGTTTCATCAGATTCAGACCCAGAAACAGTAGCATCATTGTCAAGGATTCTAGCGCCATGCAAACATGAATGTCTGTTTGATGCAAGGTTTCGTTTAACATCGTTTGTTTGACAGCCGTCAGCCACACTCTCAATCTTTTTTCACACGGAAGAATGAGTTGACCTGTCCGACTTGGAAGTCTCACCGTGTCACGGCCGTCAGCTCATTGACTGGGGGCAAAATTAGTTGACACGATGAACGGACGTTGTCACTCATTTCTTAACGGCTGTCATGATGCCAATGCTCCCGGCCACGGTAGCCGCCGCGGTGACTTAGCCGGATGAAAGGCCAGATTCA